ATCGGCAATAGATGTAACCTATTTCGTCGACAGACAGACTGCAGAACACATAGAAAAGAGCCTTTTTTCAAAATACTGAAAAGTAGAGTGGAGAAAAAATGTCAGAGTTGTCCTACTCAATAAATACTGGCGAATTCAGAAAATAAACTCCCGAAACCGTCTAGAGTGCTCCTCCCATCAAAACCGACAAGGGTTCAGTCGCAGCGGTGGTGTGCATACTTTACTGTTTGCTCTCCCCTTCCCCAATCCACTCCCTGTTACAACCTACTCCCGATACTGCAACTTTCAGATCGTGCCCGATACCTGAAGCTACAACGGAATGCTGTTAAAAACCTGAAAGTTACCCATTCGAAGTTAACCATTCCTCACTAAAGTCGGCCCACTTGCCCATCCTACTAGAAATTGTCTAGTAATTCCTTTTTGAGGAAAAAAAGTTCAAAAGAAGGGTTCAGAACAACTTAGAAAGAAGTCAAGAACGGAACGATTGGTAAAATGGGCCCGCACTATGGAGCAAGTCGCGTGAGTAATCGATTCGTACGGCCTTCAGCGACGATTGGTACAAGGTCTACCTCCCACTGTACTTTTTTTGTCTTCTGAAGAACACGACATGATGGCAAGGCCCTCTTCTGGAGGCATAATTCATTGGATCAATACCTCACTATGGAAAACAAAGTCTGGAATATTCCGTAAAGACTGAAATCTACAGAAAGGGCAAATGAGAAGGAGAAGAAATAGAAATTGATCTCATACCCTGAGAAATGTCAATAGAGGAAAAGATGGCTGCTGGTGGCCATCAGAGGCCCATTGCAGAGCAGGTGGTCCATAGTAGATGAATTGAGCAAATCAATTTGAAGGCATGACCAGTCAAAGATCAGGGACGAAAGACTGGGGCAATTTTTCACCTGTGCAGCACCTGCATATGCCCGGTTTGGCCGGAAGCGTTCAGTACTCGGGTTGTTTATGTCTTTTCCACTTGTCTAGAAACCGTTCAATGGCCATGCTGGTATTTTGATGGGTAACGAAGCCAT